TTAATTAATTAAGCATTATCAAATCATCAGATAATGATTATAGTCGATTTGATGTTAGCCGATAGAATTGATTAGTCACTAAGTTAGCAGATTTTTTAAAAAATACGTAGATTTGGTTGATTTAATCAAAAATAAACCAGATAACATGTAAAAAAAAAAATAAATGATTTAGGATAACTAAAGATCAAAAACAAAAGCAAATATAAGTACTGAAAAAAATCAGCAATCTAATTTTATTACACTTACAAGGCAATCAACTTGCTATAGCCAACTAAGCCGATTTTTAAGTATCAGTTTAGTCAATAAATTAAGTTGATTACAAACACTATTGGCAATAGCAGTTTGTTAAAACTAGGCGGCGAAGCCGCCGCATGATCATGTACTAGTTTCTACTATTTATAAAAATCGATATATACACACCAATTGGTACGATCAAATGATTGCAAAAATTATTGTGAACATCAATGAATTTTTTAATTTGTATAAAATGGTAAAAAGCTAGATTACAAAACTAATTAAATACTATTTGAAGTTTTCCTTATTAAAATGGGTTATCTTCTTTTAAACACTATTAAATTCAAATTTATAAGATCCACTTGACAAACCCTTATATCTATATTTGAATTATGGATAATACATATTCATATAAAGTTGCTAACAAAAAAAAAAAATTAGGTACTCAAGTATAACTTCATATATATTATTCGGGGTCCTGTTCTAATCCGTTCAATATTTCTTGTACATCAATAAGTTTACTAACATGTATATTATTTGGATGCTTTGGTGATTCAATGACAGGTTGAAATTTATCGGCTTCCAAAAATTGCTTTCTTATTTTATTTTCATTATAAATGTTTCCTATCTCTTCAATCCATGTAGTAATCAGAGCATTAACATATCGGATAGTAAGTCGTTTTCTCGGGTCTAGATCCATACATCGCTTGGCTAATTTAATATAACGATCAGGAGTACCAGGTGTAAATTCTGGTTGTAATCCACGACAAACTTTTACCGCAAATTTAGTATTAAAATCATAACCATCGAAAGCCATTCTTCCTGTTGATATTTCCGCCATAATGATACCCAAAGAATAAATATCTGCTGCTTGAGTATATGGGTTTCCTTGTAAAACCTCTGGTGCCATGTAAGGTAAAATTCCGCAAACTTCGTTATTTGCTTTAGAGAGCCCCAAATCTGTAATATAAGCATTATCCAATTCGTCTTGCAAAATGTTTCCACTATGAAGGTCTCGATGTTCCATTCCTTGTGAATGAATTGCTTCAAGATCTGATGCTATACAACTTAATAGATTTAATTTATCTTCCCATTTCATTTGCGATACTTCTCGAAGATTATTACGTAAGGATCCTTTCTCTGCATATTTCAAAATAAGAATGTAATTCCCTGAATCATCATCTTTCGATAGTCCGAAGCACCTCAAGAACGATGGATTTTTATATCCGATCTCGCAAAATGCATTCAACTTAAAAAATATATATATTAATCATAAATTTTAAGTGCTAAACAAAAATCAATAAATTTACCTCGTCAAAAAAATCTTGCTCATGAATTTTTTTAATTGCGAACAACTCTGTAAACGATCTTGCACCAGAAATATTCTTATATTCAATTTGACATTTAGCACGATAAACAGTTGCAAATCCTCCCTTCCCAATCTCTTCAATATCTTCAAATTTGTTATACGGAATCCATAACAATTGATACTTCTCGTCATTCAATATTTTTTTCACGTTGTCATCAATATTGGAATATGAAAATTTCTTTATTTCTGTTTATTGTTAAATTTATAAATATAAAAGGCCGACAAAGTAAAGCAAAACTAAAAACCTTTAAACTTGGTCTTTTCCCTATTAATTATAATTATTATATAAATATCTAATATTCTATACAAAATTAAAAAAAAAAGAACTTACATTCGAAACCAATACTCGGCCTCTTTTAAATCCTTTTTTTGTTCCAATGACATTCCTATAACAATACCCAACATTTTTGATTCCATCAACGTATCCCAGTTTAGCGGATTTCAGATACATTTCAAAGGCTTTTTTTAAATCTTTTTTAACCCCAATTCCATTCTGATAACATATTCCAAGATTACAAATTGCACCATTAAACTCCATTTTGGCAGCTTTCTGATAATAAAAAAATGCCTTATTTTCGTCTTTTTTAACCCCTCTTCCAAAATGATAATATTCTCCAACGTTTTTCATTGCTGTAGCATGTCCCATTTCTGCAGATTTTGATAATAAATGAAAGCCTTATGTTCATCTTTTTCAACTCCAATTCCATTTCGATAACAATATCCAACCATATATATGTTCCTTCAACGTTCCCAATTTCTGCAGATTTTTGATAATAAATAAATGCCTTATTTTCATCCTTTTCAACCCCTATCCCATTTCGATAATTGTATCCAAGGGTATAAGGATCTAAATCAGTTGATTTTTCATGATAATCCGAATTATTCTAATTCATTTTTACTTTTTAAAAAACGGAAATCTGATTTTAACCATTTAAATAATTTAAATACAATTGTACTACTTTGCACAGAGTTTTGCATCACTATAGAGTGGTACAACACTCTATAAGTAACGTCAAGCTTTAATTCAAATTACATCGATTAAAGTTTGAAAGTTGAGTTTACGTTATTCAATTTTTTCGTTGTTTTGCAAAATTACGAACTAGAAATTGAGAGTTTATGTGTCGGAATTCGTTTGGTGTAAAAAGATTTAAAAATAATAATTTACAACCAGATTTGCAAAGCGTTGTGAGTGATAATACAGTATTCTTTTTTAAATATATGTATCACAATTTTAAATGACGATAAAAAATTTAGGTCGGAATTAACTCAAAGTTTAATAATGAAATCACGCCAATTAAGTGAAAAATGTTCCTGGGCCAATTTAACTACATGCGTAGTAGCCCTATTTTTGGAACAAAAAAATTAAAATACACCGGCCAAAATTATGTAATTTGAGTCGACCACAGTCGTGGCCAATCAAATGAGAATCTGCTGTGACAAAATTGGTGCTATAGCTAGGGACGTTAATAGTTATTGCGCTTTAAAAAGATGTGATCTCTAAAGATCACAATATCGTGTGAGAATCGGAGATTCTTGCATTTCAAGAATTTAATAAATATAAATACAACACATCGAAAATATATAGATTAATAGGCAATCTAGAATCTCGGAAATTTCCCTGATCATCATCACAATAATCGTGGGCACATCTTTTTGAAAAACGCTATAATATATTATATCAATATTTACTAATTTTGAATAAATTAATAATGAAGGTTTGGAAAAAATTTTCATTTTAATAATGTTATAGTTAGCTTATTTACGGCACAAAAAGATCATACGATTTTGCTGTTACGTAACTAATTGGGACAATTCATCGGCTAATTATCTTACCATTGCCCGAAATTTCTATATTATTTCGTCAGCAGTATTCAAAGCCATTTCATAATCTGAAAATATATATAGCATACTGGTATAAAAAATAACCAATTTAAATATTTATCTTAAAATTTTTATTAGTAAATACTGCATCCGTGAATTCAGATTAGTTAACTAAATGAAACTAATAAAACAGATAATTAAATATTCATTTCTTTACAAAAAAGGCCCTGCTACATACAATTAAAATATCTAAGATGTGAAGTTCTCATAAAAAGGTCTTAATAAATGCTTTTTTTTACTTCAAAATCAAGTTGAATATAACAAAGGTTTAAAGAGGTTATAATAAATTTCTGTTAATAATTTCCTTTATACTAAATCAACCCAATATTCTTTCTCATTTTACAGTAAATGTTTTAAATTATTGTACTTCCTGATTACCATTAATAATTAAATAAGGCAGGGTAGTATTCTTTAAAAATCCCTTCATCGATACTTTTTTCCCTTCGTCGCCGACCCTATTAAATCTAAAATCCAAAGTTAAGGTAGTATTTTTGCAAAGAATACTTTTACTTCTTAATCACCGATCTTATTAAAACTAAAATCCAAAGTAATATTTTTACAAAGAACATCAGATAATACTTATACTTCGAAATCAATCTGATTATTGAAATCAATGGTGTTGAGAAGAATCAACACTAGCACTGTTCTTCCTTCAGAACCGAGTTGATTGATATATATTTAAAGGGATCAAAATATTATTTATGCAAAGAGCATAATCTAAAGCTTTTCTACCTTCAACACCGATATTATTAAAATTAATATCTAAAAAAGGCAGTATTTTTGCAGAGAACGTCAGAGAATGCTTTTCCTCCTTTAAAATTTCTAATAATTCAAATATACCAATTAAATTTCTATTAATATTTCAAATAAACCAATGTATTATTTTTGCAAACTACATCAACTAAAGCTTTTACACCTTCATCACCGATATAATTACAACTAATATTTAAAGAAGTCAAAATATTATTTCTGTAAAGAGCGTTAGCTAAAGCTTTTCCACCTTCATCACCGATGCCATTAAAACAAATTTCTAAAGAAGTCAAAGTAGTATTTTTACAAAAGGCATCAGCTAAAGCTTTTCCTCCTTCATCACCGATCTCATTATGACTAATATCTAAAGATGTCAAAGTAGTATTTTTACAAAGGGCATCAGCTAAAACTTTCCCTCCTTCAGGACCAAGCTTATTATAACTTACGTTTAAAGAAGTCAAAGTAGAATTTTCACCAGCTAACGCTTCTCCTCCTCTAGGATCAAGTTGATCTTTTTTCAATAATTAGGCAAGTTAAAGTAGTGTTTTTTATAGAGAGCCAATATAAATCACTTCACATCTTCATAACATAAATAATTGTCGTTGAACTTTAAACTAGTTAAACTCTAATAAATTTGATTCATTAGGAAGATTAAAAGTTAAAGATGTTAGAGTAGTGTTTTTTATAAAGATTTTCTGATAATAAATTTATCATAAGTAATAACGCAACCAAATCGTTCTTTTGTAATAATTTAAATACATTTAATTCAATCACCAGTTTGTAAAAGTATGTCCATTCCATTTTCTTCAAATTGGTTGAAAAATTCGCCGATTTTCTTAAATAAAACAAAATTATAATAAATCTCTACTGATACTTTTTTTTAAACTAAATCAAACCAATGCTTTGTCTCATTTTACTGTAGAAGATATTTTTAAATTATTGATTAAAAGTTAAAATAAGCCAGGGTAGTATTCTTTAATGCCTCCGCCAATACTTTTTTCCCTTCGTCACCGATCTTATTAAAACTAAAATCCAAAGAAGTTAAAGTAGTATTTTTGCAAAGAACATCAGTTAATGCTTTTACTCCTTCGAAACCAATCTGATTATTACTAATATTCAATGAAATCAATGAAGTGTTGTTGAGAAGAGCCAACACTAATACTGTTCCTCCTTCAGGACCAAGCAGATTATTTTCAACATTTAAAGAGATCAAAGTATTATTTTTGCAAAGAGCATAAGCTAAAGCTTTTCCACCTTCATCACTGATCCTATTATAACTAGTATTCAAAGAAGTCAATGTAGTGTTTTTGCAGAGAGCATCTGACAATGCTTTTAATCCGAAACCAATCTGATTATAATTAATATTCAAAGAAGTCAGTGTAGTATTTTTACAAAGTGCATAAGCTAAAGCTTTTCCACCTTCATCACCGATCTCATTAGAACTAATATCTAAAGAAGTCAAAGTATTATTTTTACAAAGAGCATCAGCTAAAGCTTTTCCTCCTTCCAAGCCAATCTGATTATTACAAATATTCAAAGAAGTAAGGGACGTGTTCTCGAAAAGAGCCTTCGCTAATGCTTTTCCTCCTTCGGAACCAAGCTGATTACCAAGTAAGTTTAAAGATGTCAGAGTAGAATTTGCGCAAAGAGCATCAGCTAACGCCTCTCCTCCTCTAGAATCAAGCTGATTTCTTACAATATCTAAGTAAGTTAAAGTGGTGTTTTTATAGAGAGCTAATATCAATGGTTTCACATTTTCATAACCTAATCCATTGTCGTTAAGCTTTAAACTAGTTAAAGTAGTATTATTGCAAAGAGCATTCACTACATTCACTAATGAATTTGCTTCTACGTGAGAAATGTAAAGATTAGAAGATAAAGATTCCAGGGTTGTATTCTTATAAAGATATTCTGATAATAAATTTATCATGAATTTACGTATATTTCCAAAAGAATTAATATAAAGCATCTTATCAGAATAAACAAGGCAACCAAACCGAGCTTCTGTAACTTCAATATATTTAATTCTATCACCAGTTCGTAAAAGCATTGAGATTAACAAACAATTAATCGTTATAAACAAATTTATTCCATTTTCTTTAAACTGGTTGAAAATTTCTCTGATGCTTTTAAATAATTTATATGTATATATATGCAAGTATGTAATACATTTTGTATATTCAAATAATGGTTTTGGATCATTTGGGAGCATTATATTGAATGGAATTAAAAAAGCTTGTTCCTCAGTGTTTAGCAGTAATAAACATGTTCTTATGAAATTTTTATTAATAGATAAACTATCTATTCTGCTCCACAATATCGGTACAACATGTCTACACCATTGACGGTTTACAAGAAGGCACGAAAATAGGCATTTACGATCAAGGCATTTTAATATTTCCAAAAGGCATTCGCTAGGTAATACTGTTCCCATTTTCTGTGTATAATAAAAAAAAGGTTTTTTATTGCATGCTATTTATTGAATTCAGAGTTTTACAAACTGATCCGGTTTAAATCAAAAAAGGACATATTAATATAGTTACGCATATTGTTAACAATGATGTAATATTTGCTTATATGATATCATACATTAATTAAGTGCAGAAATTTGGCAGCCCGTGATCTCTGAGACAATCTGGCCATTTTCTACAGGGGGATCCCCAAAATTCCGGGTCGGAATGGCCGGAATGCGTCGTGGTTAGGGTCGGGGTTAGGGCTGGGTTAGGGTTAGCGGGCGCTATAGGCTATAGTAAAATTATCAGCTGGGCACTTTTCACTTAATGAACGACTATTGTTTTATTAGTAAAATTCTTATTGTTCTTGGGGCAAAATTGATCAACTCCGGCCCTTTCGACCAGAGTTCCGAAGCTTCCGACCCGGAATTTTTGGGATCTCCCTGTAGGAATTAATCAGGCCTGAAAAAAACTGCTGCAACTTATGGTTTCCACTACTCAAGAGGATCTAATATCGAAATTAATTCCTGTTCCAATATGGGCAATTTTATCAGAACAAACGTCTCAGATACATCCAATACGCAACCCAGCTGGAAAATTGTCACAGCAGATTTTCGATTTTGATTGTCTAACGACCGTGATCTGCAAAATTTTTAGCCCGCATTACAAAATTGTTTACTAATTTCCGGCCGGAATTAACTTTTTTTTTTTCATTACAAAATAGAAATTTTTAATCCTTTATAAATTCAAAAAATTCATTGGCGCAAGCGCATATTATATATGAATGATATGCGCGCAAACTTTAAAATTAGGCTATACAAACTTATATTTTCGGTTTTCATATCACTAACTGGCCTTTTATGACCCGCCGACCCGGATTTTAATTTTTTTAAAAAAATTTTTTTTATCAAAAAAAACTTTTTATAATCTTAATACGGATACTCGGTAAACATTTTATGCGTAAAAAAATTTTTAATAAGATAACACAACCAATTTCAGTTTTCATATCACCAACTACAAACTAACTTTTAGTACCACAGCAGCGGATTAGTCAGTACCAAGAAAAAAATGAAGCTGTTTCGAAATATCTTAAATAACCTTAAATAGAAATGAATGGACATAAGTCATGTGCAAGATTTAAAATAAGATTTGAAACTTAGTATTAAAATGGTACAGTATAAATTTTTGTGAAGAATATACAGAATGCTACTCTAGAATCAGAAAATTTTGGAAATATTTATATAGAGTTCACAAAGATCGAATACAAATAATGCTCCAAATGAATAGACCCTACTATTAGGTAACATTAATAACATGCGTTAGCGAACTGCAAACTATGTATTACTGGAAAATGGTTGTTTTTTTTACATTAACTCAGAAAGCATAATAATTCTAATACAAACTAACTCGAACTACATGCTACATTGGGTTGTGCGGCGCATTATATAAATCAAAACTATATGTGGTATCATATAAAAATCAAATATCAGAGATTTTCGTGTAACCAACAATCACTGATTTTATTTATTTATTTTATTTTATTATTTTTTAATAATGTTTAAGGATTTATTTAATTTATTTCTTGAAGTGGTGCTTTTTTTCGATTTGTCCGTGTTTCTTTTAATCTTTCCAATAAATTTTCTTTACCGATTTTGCTTGAGGACAAACAAAGCTTGGATTGTTTCACTGATAATGACATGTTGGGGTGCGTTTTTAGATCTAATTTGTTGAAGAGGCCTTCCACTTGTTGTTGGTGGATAACTATGAAATAGATTCGATTTTTTATAAAATGATACAGTCTAGGAAAGTTATAAATAGGTAATTCATCATTTACACAGAATTCTTCAAATTCGTGGAAAAAATCATTGTCTTGCAACAGCAATTCGTATAAGTCTAAACTATCAGTTTTTCCATTCCTTAAATCATCTTCTAGTTTCTCTGCAAACCATAATTTTAAATCATCTGGTGATTTAGCCCAAGGCTTTTTTAAGACAACACAGTAAAAACTAGAAGCAAAAGACCTAGCATTATTGCTGCCAAGACGGCAAACAACTAAAGGTAAATGGAGCCAAGATGCAAACCATTTTTCAAAATGATTTAAGTCTTTATTAATTTCCTTTTTCAAATCCTCAAAGAATACTCCAAACTTCTCACTAGACAAAGTCTCCAATGCTTCTAGTAATTTGTCAGCAAAAAACATCTCAAAATTTTTGACAACCTCTTGAAAAAACCTATACCATTCATAGATTTTGTCGGGCATTTCGTGTACTCGCCAACCTGGAGGTAAATTAATAAATTAATTATTTTGATAAATGTGTGAAGTTTTGTCTTGTCCAATTATAAATTATGTCAATGGTTCGTAAAAATGCTCAGCAAAGTTAATTAAACATTTTATTTGAATGTTCAATTTAGAATTAAGGAGCCAGGATTGAAACAAACATCAATCATTAAAGTATTGTTTCGAGGTATTATGATTTTTTAGTTCACTAACAAATCAATTAGCAAATTTAACATGTGATATACATCGATCAATAAATTGTTTTGCTGTTGTAGTTCATAACCCCAGCGAGTACGAAGTAGCAACTGATATTGGTTATAATGATATCCCAATAAACCATCATACAAGTCTTTAATTATTTGTGAATTTAAATTAAATGGCTTGTCTTTGTTGCTAGAATCATAACTATCATGTAATTTCTAAGCCAAATATAATAAATTATACGGGTATGGTTTTCTTGAGAATCCAGTACTGTTGGAAAGTACACTGAATGCTTCTTGCTCGAAGTAGTTCATAATAATTTAAATAATATAGAGCCCACAACCAATTCACAAAGAATTTCTATTGGTTTTTTTGTTAAATAGGACAACAGCACCTTTCTTATCGCCCAACATATATGATGTATTATCTGTCATCCATATTGTGCACTTTTTAACATCCAAATTACATTTTTGGATATGCTTTATTACAACATTCGAAACTGTATTTGCATTACATTTAATAACATCTTGCAATTGTGCAACTATTACACTAGGTAGTTAATCGTTTTTATTTCAATATTGATAGCAGAGAACTAAATTTTTTATCTGTTCTCGTGTCAATTCATCGATCATTATTCCGAATGTTAAAGCATTTCTAATTTAATAAATTTGTTCCTTAAATTGTAGTTCTGAAACATCTTGGTGCCATGTATATAGAGTCAATGTCGATAACCAATCTCGAGGTGGTTCTTCTACTAGAAATTTATAAACTAACCACATACATTTGATAGTGGAATGTAGTGACATTTGACCAACTTGCAAAACATTTGTAGCAAGCCAAATAGTATTTGATGAATAAAAATTTTTATTAGGATTAAAAATATTTTTAACCTTCTTACAAAATTCTTCATTAGTAATTTGGTGAGATCATTGAACTAACAAATGAATTTCAGCTATATATTTGGATTTTTGATCACATGAATGTTGAGCTTTCACTCCAAGTGATTGAGTTCGTTTAAGAAGTTCTTGATTTTTTGACTAAGTTTTTTATTTTTTTTTTCAAGCCTCGAATTTGAATCTTGTAATGAACAATAATCTGACTTTGATTTATAAAAACTTTGAACCATGTAATTATATGTCTTTTTTTGTAAATATGGTGAAATCAATTTTCTCTCATTTGAACCTTTCAGATATTACATAATAGATATAAGACTATTTACAGAAGATAATTCTTCCTCAGGTAACTACCATATAGTTGAGATTAATTGGGTTCTTTGTGAATATTCAGGTTCCTCTTCAATCAAAGCTTCTTGTTCCTTGAGTTGTTTTTGGTGTTTTATAAAACATGCATTTTTTAAATGAAACCAGCATTTATATGTCTTATAAATATTCATATTTTTTGGGTTTAATTAGATGCATAGTTCTAACAGCACATAATTCCAAAGCAAAATTTTAAGAAAATCAATAATAAGTTCTATAGAACAAAGCTATAGAACAAAATTTCTGCTTTGATCAAAAAAAAAACCTACCAATTAATTTAAAAGTTGTATGAACAACCAAAGAAATCGTGTAATTCAAATATGTATAAGAAAAAAAAATCTTTCATAGATAATTTTAAAAAAGACTCTATAGCTTTATAATTGTGATAAAAAAGAGTCAATTTATAATAAAACTTTTGTCAGAAAGAAAAAATTACAACCCGTGCATCTAAAAAAAGCGTGACCCCAATTTTATATTAAGAACATATTAAATAATTTCATTATAATTTCATCATTCGACAATCACTTAAAATCTGTTATAATTGACTTTTATATGATACCACATATAGTTTTGATTTATATAGTATGCAGCACACCCCAATGCTACATGTCGCTAAAATAGCAAGTTCTGTAACAGAATGCTTTACAGTGCAAATTAACTCACCTTGCATATTGTAGTTGCTAAAATCTCAAATTTTGTAACAAAATGGTTTATGGTAACTTATGATAGAAGTTATAGTAATTGCAATAAACTACTTCAAAACAGACCAGTGTTCCAAATTGAGCTGGCTCAATTAGGCTTACTCAATATTCCCATTGGCTCATTAAGGCTTATTTAGTTTTTATACTATATAATATAT